TAAATTTAATAACAGGTATCGGGGATTTCAGGATTCTTATGTAAAGTTACTTTCCCAAGATCTTTTTTTTAAGTTTTCAAACTTATCTCATTACTAATGTATATTTCCCTTAGGTCAAGGCTGTTTATCTGGCCGCATGTCACTTGAAAATGGACCGAGTCGCACGCAAATGTGCCCAGCATTTAATTAAGCATTTATCAGTCGACAACTGCATTGAAATTCGTTCCCTACCTGGTATTGCTAGAAATAAAGATTTCGTTCAGGAAGTTGATGCTTTTATTGCTGCTGAAGTATGTTTACAAAATAAATTGAGCCTTCAGTATCTAATTACACATTACAGTTTGAAAAAATCAGTAAATCATCTAACCTCCTGAATCTATTATGCGCGAAAATTGAAGTACTAAATCAATCACGGGAAGAAATGTCCTTGGTCAACCATAAATCTCTTTGCGTGTTAGTACTTGAATGGATCAAACGTCAACTGACCGAAGAATCTCTCCGCATGGAATCATTATCAGAAAAAACCTTTATGTTGTACCTTGCTATCGATAATTCTCTACAAGATTGTTCCGGTCTACCTTCTGGCGATATTAGCGACACAGAGATTGTACAGGACTACAAAAAGATGTCATCGAAAGCCGTTCAACCAAATTCTAAAAACAAAAGGAAATTCTTAAGTCAACCGGTGAAACCTCGAGTGCTTTTTTACTCGAGGGATATTGACGAAGAAATCGAGCTTGAATGTGAACCAGATTGGAACCTGATAGCCACATCTCAAGTCGCAGAACATTGCACTTTAGCGCTAGTGACTCTAGGAGGAAAACTCACTACACTATCAGTACAATTAAGGTACGTTTTAAGCTAGTCTAGGTGGCATTTTCCCAAAATTATTTTTCAGACTTAATCCACCTAGCACACCTTCTCCTGTTTCAACTCCTGATTCGAGTAGATGCGCTAGCGAGGAGAAACCTGATCTTTATTGTACAATCAAAAATATGTCCTCTGCGCGTTGCGCTGTAGGATGTGGCAATTTACAGAATACTCTTTTAGTTTGTGGTAAGTTTGACAAACAAATTGAAGAAAACATTCTTCCATTACAAGACAATTTGATTTTGTTTAGGTGGGTATGATCGGGTTGAATGCCTACGAAGTGTTGAACAATACATACCGGAATCAAATACGTGGAAATCTGCACCTTCAATGCGCGAAGCACGAGGAAGACACCAAATTGCAATAATTGAGGACAAGGTATTTGCTGTTGGTGGCAGTAACGGCACCACTGAGTTAGATACTGTTGAAATGCTGGATGTTACTGTTGGTATGTCTATCTCTCTCGTTTTTTATGTATATACAATGGATACTTGATAGGACGGTGGGTCAACCTGCCCAAATTGCCGTTGGCACGAAGCAATCTCGGAGTTTGTGAGCTTGGAGGTGTGATTTATTGTGTGGGAGGTTGGAATGGGCAGGTTGGTATTAAGCAATGCGATATTTTCAATCCGACTACCTCGACTTGGTCCACCGTTGCTTCCCTGAATACAGGTCGATACCAAGCAGGTGTTGCAGCTTTTAAAAATTTGGTTTACGCCATTGGAGGTTGCGACGCTTGGAATTGCTTAAATACAGTTGAAGTTTTCAATCCGGTTGAAAACGCATGGACCGTGGCCAAACCCATCATTTCGGCTAGACGAGGTTGTGGGGTGGCAATGTTTAATAATAAACTGTACGTGGTTGGAGGTTCTGATGGTACACATTCATTGAATACAACAGAAGTGTTGGACGAAGAAAGCGGGAATTGGGTCGTTGGTCCAAGCATGACTACTCCTCGGGCCAATGTTGAAGTTGCCGTAGTTGGAGACAGACTCTACGCTGTTGGCGGATTTTCCGGTAATCTATTCCTTTTCCCCTTTTAAATGTAACCCACGTTTATTACCAGGCAAAACCTTCTTAAATACAATCGAGTATCTAGACCAAAACTCAAACGAATGGACCACATTTATACCCAAAGGATCCATCGATGCCGGTTATCGAAGAAAGCCGCGCTACCGAAGAAATTCTGCACGTAAAAGCATATCAGAAGACTCCAACAAAACAATCAGAAGTGAAACCCAATCACCTATCAGCAATCATACTCAAAACGGGACCAGCAGTTAAATTTATTTTCTATTCTACTAATAAGTTTTAAAACCAAATTTCAGTTGGTTTTTATAAACATGTTTCATTTCAAATTTTACATTGTTCCAAGCCTCCAAATATAAAAAGTATTTTGCATACCGTTTTTATACTCAATATGTCATGAAATTAGCAGACGATATCTATTTGTAAGTGTAACTAAACTCTGAAAGTATTAGTAGGATAGAATATAGCATTTATAGAAAATCGGGAGTATTCCAGTAAATGCATTAAACAATATTATATATAATATATGTCGTTGCATTTCTTAATTTTATCAAAGGAAATTGAGAGTATATCGATGTAAAAAAAAGGACAGCTTGCTGTTAAAATACATATTAAAATATCTGTATATTTGATTCCAGAAATCTGGCCTGTGATTGGATCAGACTGATCTTTGCTCATTGAATGGACATTGCTAGAGTTTAATTTAACAATGTTTTTATTGTTTCCTAATTTTAATGCCGTCGGTACGTTACTTGTAAAATTTATCTTTATTTCAATAAAAAAAAGACAATTCGTGTATTATTAAATGTATATAATTATTAATCTGCAGTTTTTAGTGTAGCAGGTCTTAGGTTGTTAATTTATTTGTGAAAGTCTCCATAGACGAGACGCGTTTAAATCGAGTGCAAAAGTAGGTGGAGTGTAGATGTTAAATAAAATCGTATTAAAGAGATCAGCTATGTATTCCAAAGGATTTTTTAAAAATCAATATAATAGTTGGAAATAATCAAGTGGATAATAAATGATCATGTGAGGGATGCGGATTTTACCGTTTTTTTCCAATGCCGACACGTTTTTATTGAATTTAATCCCTAATTTTTGTGCATTAATAGGTAATTTTAATCCCTAGGGATTAAAAAAAATTTTAATCCCTCATTTTTGATTTCTTGTAAAACATTCAGAAAGTACCTATTCATTTTCTTTATTTTCAGAACAGGTAATATGAAAAGCACAATTTATAAAGGGCCTTGGTGTACATTCAGCTCTTCCTATATAATGCCAAATAGCTGAGTTCTTCTCCGCCTCAACAATGGTAAAAACTCTTGACTTTTAGTTTTTGTATCTGGAATTCTAACGACCAGCATCGATTCTCCATCTTCTATGTACCTAGTCTACGTTAATTTTTAAAAATTCCTCTGATCTGCAAGCTGCAACTTCCTCCAATATCCATAATTGTCACAATCTACAACCACAAACTTTGGAAGCATGAGCATGCAATGTTTTACACAAACTAACCTTGATCAGCAAGTGACATCTTAGGAGATGAAAGAAGCGCCTTCATATGCTTCGTCACTTTCGTCTTCAATATTTTTAGAAGGGTTCACAGGCATGATTTTACCAAAATAAAAAATTCTTAATTTTTGTTGACAGTTACAAACAATCAAGCGTAACTATGACATCCTAAAAAACCTACCTTACTGTTTCATAGTTTTTATAGCATATTAATTTTCAAATGGATTCAGATCGGTCGGTATTGGAAAAAATAGTATAAGTAACACTGGATTAAACTAGTTTTTGTTCCCTCAAGAATTTTAAAGCCCACGGCAAGCCTCGGGCTTTAGTAAGTAAGTAAGTAAGTAATTTATTGTGTTAATACATTTAAAAAATGCTTACACTCGTCCGTCAAAATCGTATAACACCTAAACATAAAATACATGAGACACATAGAACAATATTAAATAACATGAAAAATCATTTAGAAATAAAACAATTAAACCAAAAAAAAAATACAAACAACAAAAAAAAACTTAAGGCGTTAAAGTCTTGAGGTCGTTATCTAAAAACTCTTGGAAGTTATATATTGGATTTTCGCGTAAAAAAGTTTTAAGTTTCTTGGAAAAAAGTTGTTCATTTAGAGATTGGAAACAAGAAGGTAAACGGTTATAAAACACAGGGCCCCAATAATTATGTGCCGCCTGTGACGTTTTTAATCGTAATCTATCATTATATATTTGATTTTTTTTCAGAGTATTGTAAGAATGAACATTTTTATGGGTTATATAATTTGATTTATTTCTATGAACGAACAAAACTGAGTCAAAAATGTATTGTGATGGAGCTGTTAGAATTTGCAACGATTTAAAGATATTGCGACAGTCCTCCCTATAGCCAGCATTTACAATATTCCGCACACAGCGCCTTTGCATGGCAAACGTTCTTTTCCAACGTTCTTAAACCATTCTTTCAGGAAAAAAAACTCTTTAATCCCTTGTTACTTAATATACTATTTTTTTTTTGGTAGGTATTAAAATTCTTACAATAGAATATATGAAAAGTGAATAAAAAATAACATTAGTAATGGGTTCTAGTCTAAAGGGAAGTACAGCCAACTAAGAAATGTTTGTTCAATGGAAAATTAGTCTTAGTTTAACGTGCAAGTTAAAAATTATTTTGAACGGTTTTCGAAAGTTACACAATTATTTAAATTTTACTGTAACTACTCTACTGCAGGACAAGCCTTCGACAACACTCACAAATTTATGGAATGTCATAATTACTGTATATGCGATAGTAATTTTTTACACTAATTTAAAATTCCATTTCTGTACTTTCTTTTCGATTTGACTAGCATAGTTTCTTATTTACCACATAATTCCTATTGTATTTTGCTTTTTATCAAATTTTTTACTCCTGAATGTTATCATCATAATGAAGCATTTCAATTGTATTATTTTTTCTATATTTCCTTGAATCATTATTGAACAATATTTCAGTTTGTTCAATCGTTAAGACTGGAAAGTATTTCGAGGTCTGTTTGGACAATAAATTATTATTTCCCCAATGAATACAACAGAGATGAAACGAAAATTATATTTATTACATAAAACCGAATAACTTTAATTGAACGACCAAGTATGTTTACAGCTCTTATATTATCTACCATTATAAGGCAGTCAATGTCGATCATTAACGACCTTATTTTTACATTTTATAACTTACAACAATCTTATAAATTTAAAATGCTTATTTTTTCCAGTCATCCTTTTCATAATCCCATTTGGATGACAGCCCTGTAATTGGGTTGACTTTCAAATCTAGCATTCTTCTAAGTTGGGCTCTTCTATTTTCTTCACTAAAGCTATCGGGTAGTGGACCATACACTATTGAAAATTGAAATCAGTAACAAGCGAAGTTATAATAAAAGAATGTACAGGACATTATTTCACAATGTACAATATATAATAAACATCGTGTCGTAGGTGTCCCAGATAATTTTACAGCTCATGTACGATTAAAAGAAAACTGTTCTTAAAACTAGTACAGAGCTGTATCCAAATTTGTCGCGAGCAACTTACCAAAGAACTTCATGAAAATGTACATCCAAACTCCGCAGCCTACAATTATAAATGTGTACCCTAAAACACTTTTCCACTCCCCGGTCGGATGAGTAAACTCGGAAAAGGTTTGGCAAAAAGATGCCCTGTAGAGTGCTTTCTTTTCTTCTATGGATAATTTTCGCCAGTCACCTTTCTCCCTTTCTCTCAAGGCCTACGTCAATTGTACAGTCGCAGATAATCACACGAACAAACATACCAAAACATCAGGGGTCTCCTCCTTCCATCGAAGAGAGGGCATTGGAAAATCTACACGATCCATATAAACTGGCTGCCCGTTAATACCATACCCAACCATTTCACGAGTACCCTCAACCGGTGCCGCTTCGTGGTGCATTCCGGCTGAGCCCAATGGAATCAGGCGACCTTTAAGTCTCGACCCAAGAGTTAAAAGTCTCAGTGCCATGGTAGTACAATCCCTAGCCTACTAATAAATAATGTTATCAGTGTTATATAATGGGTGGTTGAGGGGTTTTAATTGTTTAGTAAATATTTTATTATGTTAATTAATTAGTAATTATTGAAGTTCGTGTGCGCGTTATAAGGGTAACATATTGCAGAATTATATCACAATTTGCTAATATAAAATACCTTTTAACGAATAGAAGATGGCGTAGACACGTTCTCAATGTCGCCAACACAATCGATTAAAAATAAGGAAAAGGAAAGGACATGTCAGCCATAGATTTCAAACGACCAAAGAACAAAAAACCAGATGTAATAATAAATAAATAATATAAAATAAAATAATAATAAAAGGGACGGATTAATGAACATACGTATTAGGATTTTAAATAGAAGTTTTTAATAACATTTAACGACCCTCAATAGAAATTGATGGTTTTCCAAAATGCTGTACGCCTTTTCCAGAGACATATCGATTTCCCACGGCTATCCGGGAAGTTTGGAGTCAGAGCCTTCTAGATACTTTCCAGAGCTTTCTGGACTTCCGTAACCCTGGGAATAATTTAGAAAGGTGTGAGAAGTTCTAGAATAGGTAAGTACTCCTATCGGCCACTTGATAAAGAACTTAAGTATTCCCTGGAAAGCACTTCAGGGCTTACCAGAGCTCGCAATCTAAACGGGTTCTAGAATTTTACAATCAGGTAAATTTTAAAGTTCTCAAGAACACTTACAGGACCTTCCCGAACAATTTTTCAGCCCCCCACAGTCCTTGCCTATAACATTATAACAGTTTTCCAGCGCTTTCCAAAACTCTACGCCTTTTTAAAAGGTGCTTTTTTCGAAAGATAGAGGGTACCTATGGCGTACCGCTACTTTTTGTAAATAATTAAAACTTAGCCCCACATATACACTGTCCAAGATAACGATGTCTTATCATGGGGATCTCCGAACTATAGAAGATACGATGATGGTTTAAATTTTAAATTAAAGAAAAGATGCGCAATTAAGGAGTTGATCATGCTTTAAAAAAACCAGAATATATATATAGGGATGTGAATGCTCTCCAGAATAATTGAAGCTTTACAGGCCTTTTCTGGCGCCCTCAAAAGCATTCTGAGCTTGTTATAGAGCTATTTAAGATTTCAGAAAGCATTGCAAGTCTCTCCCAAGCATATTTATAACCTCTATAGACTATGGACACTATCTCACCCCACCCTGTGTTCATATCGTGAAGCACCCTG